AGTGGATTTTTGGAATGATAATGGGTCACTCAGAGAAAGGAAAAGAGACGGAAAACCAACAATATGGAAAATCTCTGCAATTGTTAATAGACCATTTTCAGTTCACCGCAAGAAACCGCATTATGCGTGAAATCAAGAACGCAACGTGACATAGAAACACCGAAAGTATTAATATGCATTAACATACACATTTGATGTGACCTATTTTGATGAAATAAGGATATTTTAACACAATATCCCTTATTTCGACATTGAGCTATACGCAACATTATAATTCAAAATTGCGACAGACGTTTTGTTCTCGCCTTTCACGCAATAGACAATATCTCGCAGTGAACGGCAAATCACCCATTAACCCCAAGTAACCGCTACATGACATTTGCCGTAGCCATGGAAACATTATTTTATAATTCCTACGATGTAAACGTATAGTAACAAATTGTAACCATATTCAGTTATCACAAGTATGGATGTACAGGACGCCTATACTACAAAGCAATTTTTTGTAAAGCTATTTTACATATTAGAGAATCAATGAGTGCTCCATATTTTACAACAATCAAAAACAAACTAATTTTTCCATTTTTTATAAAAATCAAATATTCATCTTCGTCACAGATGTTGCAAGTCTCTAAAATGAAGCCAATTCAACTAAACTATAGTACTGACTGCTTACTTAAAACGTGTTAGTCCGCCATTTCAAAACCAGCTGTGATTTTGCTAAAATTCCAAAAGTTGCCGTCGTGACCCCGCGCCTGAGTCAATTCTTATAGTGGTGTAACATGTCATCAGACATGTAAAACATCATTTTAACTAGCCAAGAGTGCATACTAATAGTTTAGGCACCGTGACTTTAATAGATTACTTATGTATGGTTATATATAACTATCTTCTGAATATATATGTGTGAAACATTTTGCCAGCAAATATAAAACGCAAATATGAGTAAACATTTTCAAAGGAACATCGAATGAAAGCACACTTTTCAATGATTTTCAGTGCGTCTGAATGTTTCGACGTCTATTGGGATTGTGTGTCATTCACAGAGTGTGCCTGCTCTGAATACTGCAACACACAGTGACAAGTACGAATCCAGATTCCAAGACCACAATCAAGCATAAATGATATCAGAATGTAATTTTAACAACACTTATAGTATTGTAGCTTCATTTAACTTCCATGACAGCAGAGGTTTAAGCAAATAATTTAGTTAAAATCTGTAGACATGTTGCACGAGTGAAAAGTTATATGATCGTATATCACAAACATATAAATAATGGCTCAAAGAAAATTATACATTTTATGATTAATGGGATGCCGTATGGCTTACGTGATGTAGCCATTTTCTGACTATGTATTTGCGCAATATTTTAGATATTATTCGGCAAAAACATACGTTAAAAATGGATTATGTTTGGGTCACGGCCTGAAAATGGGCAAAACTATAGTACATACTGTGGATCTGACACTGTCTATTGTTTATTATACAACAGTGGCGGTGGCACGGGGGAGAGGGGCGGTGGCACAGGGGCAGAGAGGCGGTGGCACAGGGGGAGAGGGGCGGTGGCACAGGG